TCTTTGGAGAGAGTCTTTTATATATATATATCAAAGAACTTCTTCCTTTTTCATACTATCAGGTAAATAATTTTTTTTTTTTTTTGGCTGTGTATAAAATATGTTAAGCTGGAAAACAGTTAATGCAGCAGCAAGCATTACACTGCAAACCTATATATACACACTCCCTGGGAGTAAGTCCCACTGAAGTCAACCAGGCTTGTTTCTGAGTAGACATTCATGGCATTGCACTTCACATGGATTACCTGTAACTAAGGGTTGCTTAATTAGGCTGTTTTTAACTGTTTTTACCATTAAGGTTGCAAATGCTTATTTGGCAAGCAAATTTTAGGAACAGATTACAGTAATTTCATCTTCCTGAACTTTGTTCCCATTTTAGCCCTGTTGAGAACTACATATTCTCTCCCCTTGCCAATATTCCGTATTCTTTTGAATCCTGTGAAAACAGAAATAGCCTTACGTTAAGATTCAGAGAGTCTTAATTTTATTTTATTTCTATGGTATTCTCTTGTACACTTTTTAAAAAAAATAATTAGGGCATGGGTGTTTGATAGGGTTTCAGCACATTCCAACTTTCCCTTTTCCACGTCTACAGTGGCATTTGAGCAACACGTTCCAGTTGCAAATCTACTCAAGCTGGATGATGTACATACTTGTAGCAATCCCATTGGCACTGATAGGTCTGTGTCTGAACACCAAAATGTCTTATCAAACAGAATGCTTAAAAGACATTCTGTCTTTTGAATTTGACCCTGGAAGCTGGGGCTAGGGAGGTGGTAGAGCCTAGAGACCAGGGTGGTTTTTGTGTGTGTTCTTAATTGTGTTTCCACTTACATCCAACACCATGGCTAAAGGCTATCATGGGTAGCTAAACAACTACCAACACACACACACACACACACACACACACACACACACACACCCCATACAACTAACCAACCAACCAACAGGTCTTCCATGAATCCTAGGTAGCTGGGATTTGCTGGTGCCATGTGGCCTCTTGTGGATCGAATGGTAGCTGTGGCAAAATCAAAAACTAGCCGCTGTCCATATTGCTCAATAAAGCAGTGTCACAAACTATAAACAGCTTGAGACACTATGTATATTTTAGACATTTCCTTCAATTCCCAGGTCTGTGAGTGCTGCTCAGATAAAACAACTATGCAGCTATTAATTTGCTGAAAGTTAAAAAACAAACAAGGGAATATACAGATGTTATGACACCCACACAGCAACCAAGAAGTTCTGATAACAATGCCAAGATGACACCACTTTGAAATTAACAAATAACCTTACGTTAAAAAGCCAGTTTATCCCCTAATCCTTTTAAGTTGTCGTTCACTAACCAAGGCCTCCCTAAGTGTGCATTGCGATAGAAGTTGGATACTTCTCTTCTTCTGTGGGCTTCAGTTTAGTCATCAAGATTATCTCTTTGCTGACAGCCCCATGATCTATGGCCTAGACCTTAAACAACAACAACATCAACAAAAAGGAGTACTGCGAAGGCAACTGCAAATTTTATCCTTTCCCTGGTTGAAACTATCTTATGAAGTATTGATAACACATTATCTTTCAGAACAGAATAACACTGCACAAAATGATACTAAGAGATGTTTTAAGGAAACCCTTTGGCTCAGTAAAAGTTATTATTCAAAAGTTTACATAGTCTGTGAACACTTATCAAAAAGCTCTGAGCACAAAGTACAGAACCTACGTTGCAGTTAAGATACGGTGGAATGCAAAAGGTTTCGTAGGAGATAAAGGCGTTCATTTTTTTAAAAAAATTATTGTACTCATCCTTGATCTGCACAAATTACCTTTCCTTGGGATGAATACATGGGAGAAGAGTTGTATTAGCCCATTTTAGCTTTCGGAGGGCAGGATGAAGAGGTACACATCAGGATGACATCTAGGATGGATTTATTGATTTTCTATAATGTACAGAATTGGGATGGAGCATTTGAGCATTTTTAACTTTGAAAATAATCTTCCAAATGCAATCAGTGTGGGCCTGAGCTCTACGTAAGTTAAGAGCACTGATATTGATGAGAGTTGGAAAAGTACCAGTAGAATACTTAGACACAATATTAGCTCTTCTTTAAGACAAAAAACAGAGAACAAGGTACCCCAGTATGGAGAATTCACTATACATTTATAATATTTTCATGGATTAAAGAATTTGGGTGGACTACAGAGAAGGAATTAAATTTTCATTGTATATTAAATCAAGATGCGGCATTCACAGAAACTGTATACTTATACAAACCATAGCATGGTTATGCCATTTTCTTTCCAAAATGAACACAGTATTTCAAATTGTTAACACAACTCAGTTCTTACTCTCTTTCAATCCATATTCAAGTAATTGCCAACAAACATCTTAGTAAGAAGTGCTTCTTTGATCTGTACCTGTTCCATTTTAACTCCTTAAGACAACACTTAGAGAAGACATTGCAAGAACAATTTTGTATGGGGGAAAATGGCCAAAATCACCCTCCCT